GACTCAGAGATAGAAGGTTCAGTGGAGATCGGAGTGCAGCTGTTACTGTCACAAATTCGCCCCATACAAGCGCCTATTATATTCTTAGCACTCGTCATAGCGCTAAACACGATCACGTGACTTACACGGTCACATGCATATCACGAGACCTAGATCATCATATAGATATGATGGGATCAGTAGATAAGATAACCACAAGTCCAGAACTCGTTCTAGACCAGTCACATGTCATGACATCATGAATGATGTCACCTGGTGGATAGCTTAGCCTAATGGAGATACTCCAACGGTCATTATCCCTCGTATTACTAAACATAATGGTAGTGTATTAGTAACGAGTCACGAGTAGTCACATGAGCACTTAGTAATGTAGAGTACCATAGGTCCTACGTAGTGTCAGGGGTCTTAGATTACTTGTATATAAGGAGCGTCGTCTGAGGCTTAAGACCTCAGACTCAACAACTTCGTTGATTCTTAGTATCTGCATCTCTCTCTACTTACACCCCTCGACTTCAAGTCCTACCCTTCAAGTCTATCAGTAAGGTGAGTATAGGAGTTGTGATAGTTTGTTGAGTCTACTGCTTGATCGTAAAGCAATGCTTTACGTTTCTTTTCTCTTTGTACAGACGGGCCGGGGCACCCTTCCAAGGATGACCGGCTGTGTTGGAGTCTGTCCAGACACAGACGATTGGGTGGAGTCGTCTACTCACTCGATCATACACGTTACCGTTGTTATGAACGGTAATCGTATAGTCTCGACCCGCTCAGAAGTACATGTGCTCTGAGGTGCTGACATCTGGCACACGGGAAGGACATTGTCGGGCCGTAGACGTAAGCAGCAGTGTTGAAGCGCTCACGCGTGGAAACATGTGACTGAGGACGCGGGCCTAACACCCCCGAATAAACGTTGCTCACCCAGTACTTGTCTTTGGACATGTGGACAGGGGAAGTCATGTGGACACTTTTCTGTGTTCTGGACCAAAGAACCTTCTAAAGGAAGGTTTTCTTCTTTGCTCTATGGGTGGAACCGTAGAGAGATTCCATGCTCCATACCAGCGGCTACACCAGCGGTAGTGAGAGAAACTACCCTGACGTCGACACAAAGAGACTAGACTCATGTCCTTTCTATTTACTCACTCAGCACTTAAGTTGAAAGAAGTGCTGATCCTTTCACCTCTATAAGGATGTTGTCACCCAATGCGCAGTTCTGGTACGATACTTACGGCATCTTTCCGGGGAAACCCTCGGATTATAGAGAACCCAGGCAACCTGCCAAAAGAAGTTATCAAAAGAAACCTCGTCCACCAACTCAGGTGAGTCCTAAAGCTGTTCCCAAAGGGAATAGGCAGAGGGCTGCCAAGACGATGGTTTTGATTAACTTGGGGTTCTTCTAGTATGCCCAAGTACACCAGCAAGAACTTCGTCGTCGCAAAGAACGAGTCTTTGGGCGTTCCCCTTTTGGAACGTATTCAACTTTCTCCCGAAAACGAACGTAAATTCAAAAACATCGGAAAACCTGCAAAACGGTACCAACCGTACGCTAACAAGCCCATCGCCCACAAGCCGCTCGCATTCGAACGTTGCCTCGAGTTACTCGACGAGGCGAAGAAAGAAGCCCAACGACGTCAGCAAGCTGCTGATGATCTACTCAAACAACGACGCGCGGAAGCCAAGAAAATTGGTACGCGTCGAGCTTATGATGACCTAGTACGCTCATGCCCGGATCTCTTCGCGTCCGAGGGGGAAAATTTCCTCCTATGGATTAAAGAGATCGAAGAGACTTCAGCGAGCCTAACAAAGCTCAAATTCATGAAGAAGGGGATTCTTCGCCGTTGCGATGAACTCCTCCCCACTCTCGTTGCCGTAAATAAGCGGTTCTTCGCAACGCACGACCATTTGGTTGATGCAGAGGAACTCGCTAAGGCCGGGAAAGGGTCACTTGCTGCCGAGCAGGTGCATGATTTGCTGAAGCTCTTAGACGGGCTTAGCTACATCAAGGAGGTCGTCGAAGACAAAGAGCTCGACATTGTCGAATGGGGCAATACGGAGTGGAGGCGGATCAGCGGGCTTTGCAGGCGGTTAAAAAAGGTACACACAGAAGGCACGGACTTTTATGACATTTGTAAAACACTGTTAGAAGGGAACTACACCATACCGGTGCGGTTTAAAGCCTACAGTAAAGATACAGATGATTTCGTCTGGTACAATGGTGTATAAATAGTTTTTTCCTTTGTTAAAATATTACGACGAATGTTCTTTGCACACAAAACAACATCGAGAGTTTATCTTAAGTCCTGAAAACTTAACTGGTATCTAATAAATAAACCAGAATGTCTCTCCACAACACCCCAACTCCAGTTCAGTCTCGCGCACCTTCTCGCGCACCGTCTCGGGCCTCTCATGTACCCGAAGTACGACACTGGATTCCGTCCTTACCATCGGCAATGGCCCCAGGAAACGAAATCGATTTCCAAAGGGCTTTAATTCAAAATGACGCAAACCTGGCCACCACTACGTTAGGCACAGGCGACGGCTTCAGAGTTCTGAGGAACTTAGCCGATTACACGTTCACACAAGCGCAAAATACTATGCGTTCAACCCTAAACTCGGTAGTACAATATGTAAACTATGAAGGAATGCAGTTAGATCAAACCTTGTCTAACATGCACAACGAGTTTACCAGCCTAAAAGATGAAAATATTATGGCAATAGATACCATTAATCGAATAAATACGGTTATCGATACCTTAGCAAAACAAAACATGGATTATCTTGTGCGTATACAAGCACTAGAAAGACAGTTGAAGGATTTGCCACAAAGTACCGGAAATAATACGAGAAATGTCAAAATGCCTGAACCACCACTTTTCCAAGGAACGGAGAGTAAAATTACGTTGGATCAGTGGTTGGATCAAATTGCGCTGTACACAGCAGCCAATGGTGTCGTCACGGATCATCAAAGAATATTGATGGCCTTAGCAAGAGTTCGAGCTCTGGCATCGGACTACTTGGCCGACTATTTCCAAAATATGCGTGAAGACAAAGGGCTAGGCACTTGGGCAAATTTTGTCACAAATATCTCGAATATTTACGGACAAAAAGATCGAAAGGCTGGTGCAAGGGATGAAATAGACGCAATGTGGAAGAACACTTCACTTATCAAGAGTGACTTCCTCAAGTTTGCGGAACAATACAAGACACTAGCTCGACTAGTGGACTATCAAGATAGCTTGCACATTGAGAAGATCGAAGTGATACTTCCCAAAGAATTAGTGCAGGCTACCATTGAAAGACGTCTCAATAACAACTTGCCAACAACTTGGGACGAATATATCCAACATATGGCTAATATCTGGCGTGCTTTGCATGCAGATAAAATTAAAGAGTCAGTGTTTGGAGGCAAGAAAACCTCGGATCCTAATGCCATGGAGGTGGATACCGCTGAACGTGCTAAAGGGAAAGCCAAACAACAGGCGAATTCGCAGCAAACAGTTAAGAAATACTGTCAACATTGTGCCAAGGATAATAAAACTAAGGCCAAAACACATAATACTGCGGATTGTTGGCTTAAAAACCCAGAAAAAGCACCAAAACGCACGGCGAAAACAGGATCACAGCAGACTACAGGGACTACGGCACCAAAGCCGAGTACACAGCCTGCGAGTAATAGACAAGCCAATCAAGGGCGGGGACATAACCAAGACCGATACCGTCAAATGCAAGTTCGCATGATGCAACTTATGACGGACCTCAACCAGTTGTCAGTGGATGAACCTCCATCAACCGAAGTGGCAACTACTGCGAGCATCGTTGAAATCGAAGAACCCGTCGCTTCTTCATCGAAGGTCACCTTGGACGATGAAACCAAGGCAAGGTTAGGCGCCAGTAAAAGACCCTGGCAGTCATATTACAAAAACAACGAGGATTTTCCAAACGCGCTCTAGAAGTCTGCGCTCTAGAGTTAGAGGATAATGATACCCATGTTGAACCAGCCCAGGAGGCTTGTACAGTAGCAAAGGATTCTTGTGTATTTAATACTGCTCAAAACAAGAAAAGGTCATTTAAAATTCCTATTGCACTGTGGGTATATGGCAAAAAGACGCAGACCAATGCTCTAGTAGATTCAGGGGCCACAACAAATTTCATCGACAAACGGTTCGTTGAAACCAATCATCTGGTCTTAAATAAGCTGGCAATCCCATTTAAAGTAATAAATGCGGATAGAACTCCTAATACAAATGGGCAAATAACACACTATGTTAAAGCCTACATGGTTGTAGAAGACCATGGAACCACTCACTACTTTTACGTCACCGACCTTGGCGATAAAGAAGTGATTATAGGTTACACGTATCTTGTCTCTCATAATCCCGATATAGATTGGGAAAGAGGACAATGGAAGTTCACCAGGTGCCCTGAAACTTGTACCAACAAGAGAGTAAAACGAAGAGATCACGAACTCGACATAAGCGAGTCTACACCGGAACCACCGTGGGAAGCAGACCTGGACATTTTAGGAGCTGCAGACACGGATGTACCACATATAAACTGGGTTGATTTAGAATCACCAGTTGACTGTTCACAAGCAGAAGTTATCGCGAATCTCCTAGACAAACCATTTGTCGGAGAATCTGAAGAAGATTTGGACAACGAAGACACAAAAGACTGGAAATCTAAAGTTCCAGACTGGGTACACGATTATGATACCGTCTTCAGTAAGGTCAAATCAGAGCGCATGCCGGAACGTAAAGAATACGATCATGCAATTGATTTAGTGAAGGATGCTCCCCTTCCTAAACCGGCTAAAATCTATCCCTTGTCCGTCAATGAGCAAAGCTCTCTGGATATTTGGATCCAAGAGGAACTCTGTAAAGGATACATAGTACCATCAAAAAGTCCTATTGCAGCACCTTTCTTCTTTGTAAAGAAACACGACGGATCGTTGCGACCAGTAATGGATTATCGAAATCTGAATGCAGTCACAGTCAGAAATCGTTATCCTATTCCACGTATATCAGACCTAATAGATGCCTTGAGTAATGCTTCGATATTTACGAAGATTGACTTAAGATGGGGTTATAATAACGTGCAAATAAAAAAGGAGACGAATGGAAGACAGCGTTCATTACAAAGCATGGACTCTTTGAGGCCACAGTAATGTACTTCGGATTTTCCAATGCACCAGCAACTTTCCAATCCATGATGAATGATATCTTAGGCGATTTGATTCGTCAAGGAAAAGTCATGGTATATCTCGACAACATTCTCATATTTGGGAATGATAAAGACGAACATCGACGTCTCGTACGAGAAATGTTGCGACGACTACAAGAGAATGATTTATTCGCTAAAGCAGAGAAATGCTTCTTTGAACGCGAATCCATTGATTATCTTGGAATGATCATATCTCACAAGTCAGTAAAGATGGACTCTAAAAAAGTATCTGGAGTCCTCGAGTGGCCACAACCAAAGAAAGTCAAACAAGTACAGGCTTTCCTGGGTTTTGGGAACTTTTATCGCAGGTTTATCAAAGACTTTGCAAAAATTAGCAAGCCACTTACGGAACTTACCAAGAAAGATCAACCATGGGTTTGGAGCGAAGCACAAGAAACAGCTTTTCAAACATTAAAAATGGCGTTTACTTCAGCTCCAATTCTAAGAATTCCTGATGATAAAAATCCTTTCAAATTATCTACCGATGCTAGCGACTTCGCTATCGGGTCAGTCTTATCTCAACTAGACCCTGAAGACAAGCTTTGGCATCCAGTCGCATTCCACTCTAAGTCACTCAGTGTTCACGAAAGGAACTATGAGATTTACGACAAGGAACTATTAGCCATAATAAGAGCATTAGAGGAATATCGACACTATTTAGAAGGACATCCGGAACAATTCGAAATTTGGACGGATCATGCAAATCTGCAATACTTCCATACCACCCAAAAGTTGACAAGACGACAAGCGCGATGGGCTCTATATCTCACGCGATTTAACTATAAGCTACAACATAAACCAGGCAAAACAATGCAGGCCGAAGACTCTCTGTCCAGGAGACCAGATCATGAGGAGGGGGTAAATCTAGATAATGAGGACAAAATTCTGCTTAAACCAGAAGTTTTCGCCAACTTCATGCAGATTTGTGCACTAGATTACCTTCATGCTGGCCTAATAGACGATGATTCTATACTTAGGAAGGTCAAGGAAGCACTGTTAGACGATGAAATGACGAAAGACTATAAGCAATTACTGAAATCTGGACCAAGAGAGTTCGGTAAAGAATTGCAAGATTGGAATTTCGAGAATGGACTACTCCTTCATTGAGGAAAAATCTACATCCCAAAGTCTAAAGACGAAAGTCTAAGAAGACAAATAGTCCAAATGCATCACGATCATATATCGGCAGGATATCCTGGTCGATGGAAGACATACGAACTTGTGTCGCGAAACTATTGGTGGCCAAGCATGTCTATATTCTGTAAAAATTATGTGTCAGGTTGTGAGACATGTCAACAAATGAAGAACCGTCCACAACAACCTTTCGGTCCATTACAACTGAACCCCATACCAGCGGGACCTTGGGAAATAATCACAGTCAATCTAATCACTCAGTTACCAGAGTCGGAAGGTTACAATGTGATATGCGTTGTGGTAGACAGATTAACCAAGAGAGCACACTTTTATGCAATCACGAATGAGTTCTCAGCAAAGGATTTAGCAGAAGTCTTATATGACAGGGTTTACCCGTTACACGGTCTACCTCTGCAAATCATATCTGATAGAGGAACTCAGTTTGCCGTGGAACTATTCCGTGAATGGTGCAAAAGACTTGGAATCAAATCATCAATGTCTACTGCGTATCATCCTCAAACGGATGGTCAAACCAAAAGAGTAAATCAATCTCTGGAACAATATCTGAGATGTTATGTGGACTTCAACTTAGACAACTGGTCACAGTTGCTAAGCACAGCAGAGTTCGCATACAATAACCTAGCACACGAAGGAACGAAACATTCGCCCTTCTATCTAGAGTATGGACGACACCCAAGGATGGGACCAACACTAGTCAAAAATTCAGGAAATGAAGACCTGAATGACATATTGCAGAAAAGACATGAGACGCAAGAGCAAGCCAAAGCTGCGCTTCAACTAGCTGCTGAACGAATGAAGTGGTATTACGACCTACAAAAACAAGTCGTACCATTTAAAGTTGGCGATAAAGCTATGCTTGACATGCAAGATTACCGGACTACACAACGCGCGTTAACTCCACGCTATGCGGGACCGTTTGAAATCATAGAACGGATTACGCCTGTGACGTTTAAATTGAAAATGCCTAGTCAATACAGGGCAATTCATCCGGTTTTCCACGCAAGCAAATTAGTCACCTACACTGAACCCATGCCAGGACAAAAGAAATCGGCTCCAGCACCAATTATAAAAGGCGGTCACGAAGAATTCGAAGTTGAGAAAATACTCCAACATTGTATTCGTAATCGTAAAACGTACTTTTTGGTGAAATGGAAGGGTAAAAGTGAACAAGACGCCACATGGGAACCAGCAGAACACCTGAAACATGCTAAACGAGTAGTCAGTTCCTATTGGAACGACCCGTATGAAGCACAAATAATGGACACGCAGTCTATTCAGGAAATGGCAGTCTATCAAAGAGACTCCACTCTGCTTGTCAAACTACAACCAGGGGCAAAATTGCCAACTCGAGGTTCAGAAGAAGCTGCAGGCTTAGACCTGTATGCCCTGAACAATGCCACAATACAACCACGTCAACGTCAACTCATACCAACTGGAGTACAATTACAACTACCAGTAGGCACATATGGACGTATCGCACCATGAAGTGGCCTTTCAGTTAAAGGACTAGACATAGCAGCGGGCGTTATTGATAGAGATTACACTGGCGAGATACGAGTTTTACTCGTAAACAACAGCGACATCGCCTTTGAAGTAAAATCAAATGACCATATTGCACAGTTAATAGTCGAACGGATAGCCCAGGTCGATATTGAAGTAGTGGGTTTTATTGATGAAACCACTAGAGGAAACAAAGGATTTGGTTCAACGGGCAAATAACTCCTCTCCACGGAGCTCGAGTCTTAAGGCGGGGGTACTGTCACAAATTCACCCCATACAAGCGCCTATTATATTCTTAGCGCTCGTCATAGCGCTAAACACGATCACGTGACTTACACGGTCACATGCATATCACGAGACCTAGATCATCATATAGATATGATGGGATCAGTAGATAAGATAACCACAAGTCCAGAACTCGTTCTAGACCAGTCACATGTCATGACATCATGAATGATGTCACCTGGTGGATAGCTTAGCCTAATGGAGATACTCCAACGGTCATTATCCCTCGTATTACTAAACATAATGGTAGTGTATTAGTAACGAGTCACGAGTAGTCACATGAGCACTTAGTAATGTAGAGTACCATAGGTCCTACGTAGTGTCAGGGGTCTTAGATTACTTGTATATAAGGAGCGTCGTCTGAGGCTTAAGACCTCAGACTCAACAACTTCGTTGATTCTTAGTATCTGCATCTCTCTCTACTTACACCCCTCGACTTCAAGTCCTACCCTTCAAGTCTATCAGTAAGGTGAG